TTAAAAAAAAAAAAAAAAAAAAAAAAAGCCATTACTCCTGTCCTTCAGAACATTGCAGCCAGCCAATTTGAAGTTGGGACGGTACAGAGAAGAAAGAAGATCAGCAAGGCCCCTGCGCAATCAAGGATGAGTCAGACACGAACTAATCGAGAGAGAGAGACGATCCAAATTTATAATTGAAAAATAAAAAACAGGTCAGTAATCCATCTCTTTTTTTTTTTTTTTTTCATCTCTTTATTATTATTATTATTATTATTATTATTATTATTATTATTATCCATCTCCTATTGATCCCTGCTCCAATGAGGAAGTGAAGATTATGAGATGAAACGGTCCGGAGGCCGGACCTATCCCAACCCAACACGCCCATCAGGTTATGAGTTTGGTATATATTGATGCACGGTCCTGAATATGAGTTCTTGCTGATTTGGCCCTCGCCGCTCCATTCACCAAATGTGAAAAAATGAGAATGGATTCTTCCGCTTAAAAATAAAAGTATACACACTGCCATAATTTTTGTCTTTTGTGCACATTTGGTGAGCAGTGTGGCCATGCCCTCTGTTTGTTCACACCACTTGCTGATTCCTTCCAGTGCTGTTGCGCAACAAGGGCTGCTGGGGCAAGGTCCCACTTTCACTTATTAAGAGATTCTGGCCGTTGATCTTTGCTATCTACGGTCAAAATCGCTTCATTCGTGTAAGTGGGACCTAGCCCCTGGCAGGGGGATTAGCATACGTTGGTGATTCTTTGTGTTTTCTAACTCCTGCAGAACCATGCAGTTCTTATCGATTATGCTCTCTTTTTTTTGGAAGTGCCTCAGGAAGTACTGGCGGTTTACACGGGCGGCGATGGCCTGAAGACATTATTGGCAAACTGACCAGCCCCAGGCAAATCCTAATTTCTAAGTGATTTACTCATCTGAATGGATTGGGAATTGAACCGAGCCCAGTATTTCGACAGTCCATGGGTGAGGTCCCACTAGCAAAGAGGATTGGATTGAATCTGGCTGGGTTTGTGGACAAGTGCAGAAAATCGAGATTGAACTCCTTTTCTGCATCTCTGCCTAAAACACGCCCAGATTCAGGATCTTAATCCAATCCCCGTTGCTGGTGGGACCGTGCTCCATGGGTGTACAACCTGCGCTAGGCCTGTTGGTAGGTACCAATTAACTTAACAGCCCAAAATAATAATAATAATAATAATAATAATAATAATAATAATAATAATAATAATAACTTAACAGACTGACTTCTCTTCAATCACACAACACAGTGACCTACATAATAATATGTGTAGCATATGAATCTCAGCGACCGGATAACCCTATCAGCAGAGTGACAGACAAAGTCTAACAATACTATTTATTGACATTGACATGCTGGCGGGATCCCAGCCGTGACAGTTTCTCTTCTTATGTACTCTCTATTCAATCTGTATATGGGACGCTGGACCCGTTTTCCAGCAGGTAGATGGAGCCTCTCCCCAGGTGCTAGCGGTGGCTGCTCTTATCAGCACCACTAACACTGGCGGGGGCATGTTTAAAAAAAAAAAAAAAAAAAGGCATGCTGCATAATACAGTAAGTACGTTGCGGTAGTGAGTGAGTGCTACCCAACAAGGAAGGGTGCAGCTTCCCGATTGTTTCAGGCCTACCGTCTTCAGCGGAAAAGAGCGTCCTGTCTTTATCGTGGTATCTAGACTGAAAGTTGCCTCCAGTACAGGTATAATGACCGGGCGTTCTATTCGGGTGAAGACGGTAGCGGTCTCCACCATCTTCGCCCGAGACTCTGACCCACCCCCGCTCCGACAATCCAGCCAATCCAAAGTTTTTTTTTTTTTTTTTTTTTTTTTTTTTGGACCATTTCTCGATTTATGCGTGTCATCCTTGCGCAGGGGCCATGCAAATGTCCCGAAGGACCCAATCCAAATTTCAACAGCGGTTTTGTAAGGCCCCAGGATAACTCCGGGTAGAATTGTGAGGTCCCCGGGGCTAGGTCCCACTTGCACGAATTAAGAGATACTGACCGTAGATAACGAAGATCAACGGCCGAAAATCTCCTAATTTGTGCAAGTGGGACCTTGCCCCCGGCCTCCCTTGCTGCTGTTTTGTAATATCAAATCTCACAACTGTTTCAAAAAAAAAAAAAGTCAATCGCGGTAGGCCGGGCAGCGGTCCGACCCCTGTGTCATCATTCATACACTTCGGAAAGAGGACGAAAAAGAAGTGGAACATCAATCAATGTTATGTCCTCGACGACTCCTCAATGTCCCCAGCATACTTCCTTAACTCGACGACTCCTCAATGTCGCCATACTTCCTTGATATGCGAATCTCAACAGTTCACTCCTCGGTGCCCATATCGCATCCCTTTTTCGCACGACTTTTACAAGAACCTTTGCGGGGGAAAAGCAAAATAAACAGTCTCGAAAGCCTTTCGCAAGGTACTCCCTTCGCATTCAGTTTGTCAAAACCTGATGGGACTCTGAGGGAGAATCGCCGTCCGATCCCTTGTGTTCCTGTTTCCTGTCCATCCAATATAAGCTTGCCCTAGCTGCAGCCGTTTTTTGCCCTCTGCTGGCCCAAGATGTGTAATCCTGACCAGCTATGACCTCTGGTGCTCCTCACTTCCGAATTGTGTGTGGCCTTGTTTTTGAAAGAAAGGAAAAAAAAGAAAAAAGAAAAGAAAAAAAACAGACCCTTGTGGCTCCGTCTTGTGGCCTTGTTTAAACTTTTTGCAATGACCCGCCGGGAAACAGATACCCTCCTCTCACTCTCGTCCAACACCCGATGAAATCCCAAAACCCGGTCCTAGCATCAGTCCTCTTTAAACCACCAGTACTTGGCCCAGCTATCCATGCCGAGCCTGGAATGCCCCTGCGCCCCAATTTTCGCCGATGCGCCGGGGTACGTTTCATAATTTTTTTTGGCTGGCGCTTCCAGCCATTGTGGTCCGTTACCCCGAAGCCCTAAAGGCGCGGCGCGTTAACAGGAAAGTGCCGCGGCCGATAGCTGGGCCAAGTGCTGGTGGTTTAACCTTAGGTTCCTGGCACAGCTCTTCTCGGATTTCTCCCTGGTCCAGCCATCGGGTCGGGACACTGTCTACAAGCCGCAGCCCGCAGACCAATTCCCGGTCTGCTTCAATTGAGCCCAGAACCCCCCACTCCTCGTATGCACACATGATGCATGCTAGTGGCGGACTCGTGATCTTCCCTATGGGGATGCCCGCTCTTTGCTTTAGCGACACCCCGGAGGCTTCCATAACCAGATGGGCCAACTCAAGTTCCGCAGACCAATTTCCTTCTCGACACGCACACGCACTCTCTTTGCTTTAGTGACACCCCGGAGGCTTTCATAACCATATCGGTCAAGTCAAGTTCCGCAGCCCAATTTCCTTCTTGACACCCGCACTCACGCGGAGTAACCAATCTACAGCTTTCATCACTTCAATATGTGGCAAAGGGCAAAACATCATGTCCTTCACATCGAAAGAGGCAGCCATGATGATCAGATTCCGTGTACATCTGAGCCCATCCTTTCTTTGTCCTAACACATAAGAAGAGGTAGCAATTATAGCTTGTTGGTGTGTGATAGCGTGTCAGTGTGTCGGGAAGCAGACAACTTCGCAATGGCATTCGGATAACATCAGGTGATTTTCTCTCTTGATTGCTTCCTCCACTTTGGGCTGGAGTGGCCATTTAAAGGGATGCTTTAATTTGTGGACTGCTCGTGCAAGGATTAGCTAAGGGGCGAAAAACAAAGCAACATCCCCTCAAATTTTGAATGGAAAGGGAACACTGCACTGCAAAATTAACAAAATACTTTGATGGGTGACAATTGACCGTTAAGTTTTTTTTTAGTGCTTTTTTTTTGGTGAGGTGATTCTTCCACGCTGTCACTGCACATAAGCAGTGTTATATTAGGGTTTAGGTTGAACAAGCCTACCTAACCATGCAGTCCCTTTGTTTTCCTTTTCCTTGTAATTGACCCCGTAGTCGTAGAACATCTGGTACAGCAGGTCAGGTTTTTTTT